CTCTCTGCTCTCTCTCCTCTCTCTCTCTCTGCTTCTTCCTCTCTTTTCTCCCCCTATCTCTCTCTCTCTCTCTCTCTCTCTCTCTCTCTCTCTCTCTCTCTCTCTCGTCTCTCCTCTCCTCCCTCTCCCTCTCCCTCTTCTCTCCCCTCCTCTCCCCTCCCTCCTCCCTCCCTCCTCCCTCCCTCCCTCTCTCCCTCTCTCTCTCTCTCTCTCTCTCTCTTCTCTCTCTCTCTCTCTCTCTCTCTCTCTCTCTCTCTCTCTCTCTCTCTCTCTCCTCTCTCTCTCTCTCCTCTCCCTCTCCCTCTCCCCTCTCCCTCTCCCTTTCTCTCTTCTCTCCGTTATCATTCACATTCTTTTCCTCCTTCTCTTTCCCCTCCTTCCCTTCTACGCATCCACATTTCTCCCTCCCCTCTCTTCTTAGCTTCGCCTTCACCTTCTCCCGCTTTTGACATATTCTCCCCAACCCTTAACTCCACATTCTCCCCTCCCCCTCTCTCGCCGCATACTTTCCCCCCTCCCCTCTTCCTCCCTCCCTCCCTCTCCCTCCTCTCCCTCCTCCTCTCCCTCCTTCCCCTCCTTCTTCCTTTGTCTTCGTCTCCACGAACGAGAAGCCAGACCAGACCTGCAACGTCGGTCAGGAAACAACTGACTAACCGACCAACCGACTAACCCAACCAACCAACCGACCAACCAACAGACCAACCCAACTAACCAACAAAAACCAACAAACAGACCAACCAACTGACCAACTAACCAACCAAAACTGACCAATCAACCTACGACTAACCGACCAACCAACTGACCAACCAACCAACCGACCAACCAACCACCAACCAACGACTAAACAACTAACCAAAACTTTAACAATCAGCCAACCGACTAACTAACTGACCAACCAACTGACTAACCAACCGACCAACTAACGACCAACTAACCGACAACAGACAACCAACCAACCAAAACTAACCAAGAACGAACGAGGCGGAGAGAACGGGACAACCCTCTATGAGAGAACGAACGTGCGAGCAAACAAGAGAGCAACCAAGAGAACGAGAGCGAGAGCCAGCGAAAGAACGAACGACCGAACGGCACGTTGCAGGCGTTGGCACTTCCTTCCCCCCCTCCCCCTCCCCCCCCCCCTCCTTCCTTCTCCAAAGCGACCCCTCTGACCTTGAGCGCTAGGGAGGCGGGGGGGGGGGGGGGGATGCAACACAGCACGAGCTCAGTCATCGATCCCGGGTCGGCCTGATGGGTCACGGAAAGGAGGCTGGAAAGAGGGGAGAGAGAGGGGTAGGAAAAGGGAGAGAGAGAGAGAGAGAGGGAGAGGGAGAGAGAGAGGGTGGGGGAGGGGGAGAGATAGAATTTTACTCAGAAAAAATGAAAACCTGAAACTAAAAAAAGAGGGAAAACCAGAGATTGAGAACAGACAAAAGATGGTAAAAGAGATATACTAACAGAACAACAAGCAAGTAGCAGATAGCATGTACTTTGTTGCAGACCGTTTCCTCATTATGTGATGTGTGAAATAAACACTCCAATACAAGACAATAATTTGATGATGGTAAAGGGTCAGAGGCAGTAACAAGTATGCCTACAAGAGAGAGACATGTAAGAGAAAGAGTTGAGAGAAAAGAGAAGGGAGAAGGATTCAGAGAAAGACAGGGAAAGAGATCACATCGCTCCAATCAGCCTACAATATCGACTGTTGTTTTCCTCCCCCCCTCCCTCGCCCTTTTTTTAAACCTTCAATACCCTCTTCTTGATTTCAATCGCCCCCCGCACCCTTTCAGTGATTTCTTTCTTAGGAAATCTTAAAAAAATAAATAAATAAATAAACAGGGCGATCTTTGATGCCAGATTCAAAAGGGGACATCAATCATAAACCTCATGACAGGGTTTTATGAGGGATGAAGAGGCAGAAGGGGGTGTTTGTCAACAGACTCAGTGAAAGGAGGTCGATACAGAGATGTAGAAACGGGAGAAAGTGAAAGATAGAGAGGGGAGAGAGAGGGGGCAGGGGGTAGAGGGAGAAAGAGAGAGGGAGAGGTATGACCCCAAATTGTCCTTTTTCTGCCGTGTCTCTAACAATTTCCTTTTTGGTCCTCCTGCAGATATGTGCCAGTGAGATTATGGGGCAGCAGTGGCCATCTTCAGACTATTGTACATGCGACTGTAGGAAGGACCTACTGCCCTACTGTTATGGCCAAGAGGTTTGCTGCCCGACAGGAAGATGGAGCCACTGTGACTTGGGATGTTTATGAACCTACTGGGCCATCGCAGTTTGATGGTGAGTGGAATGACATGCTAAGTGGTGACTGTAGTGACAGGAGGGAAAATGTTTTTAGTGTGTGTGTGTGTGTGTGTGTGTGTGTGTGTGTGTGTGTGTGTCTGTATGCACACCATTGAAAGATGTGACTGGAGAAATTTTGAGTTGCCATAACTGTATTTACTCTTCATATGAGCACTACTAATTGGAATTATATTATTTAACCTTAGCAAATAGTTGTTCTTAGAACAGTAGTGTAGACACTTCACCTTAATCTTTTTCTTAATTGTCTTATGATGTGTTGCGTAAGAATATTCCTATGCAGGTGTAGTTCTGAGTTTTAAAAATCCACTCAATAAACCCACCATTCACAGAGGTGAGACAAGATTTACTCATTTGTGAAATTCTGAGATATAACTTACAATACCTTTACATTTTGCTTTGTATAAATCAGATGCAGATATATTCACAGAGAATACATATTTTTGATATAATTAAAACCCAATCATTTACAGAGGACATGACTATCGCTGTGTGTCCGGGCATCGCGAACAGCAGTGAGAGCACCTACGTCAGATCGCTGGTGTCACTTGCTTGCTCACAGGGCTACCGCTGCATTGTACTTAACCACCTGGGAGTTCTGCCACACGTTAAGATCACGAGTCCCAGAGTATTTCGCTATGGTAAGTGGGTTGAAGGGTATCATGAGAAGTTATATGTATTATTTTGTGTCTGTGAGAAATTATTTACAAGATCAAAGTGAGATATTCATATATTTTTCATTTGATCTTCTTGTAGCATCCTAATCCTTTCCTCCTCTTTTCCCTCCACCATATCTTTTCTTCCTTTCATTTTTTCTTTTTTTCCTTCTCTCTTCCTGATCTTTCCATTATTCATGTTCCCCACCAACTTTAACCTACTCCTTTTTTGTTCCTGAAGTAAAGTTTCTCCCATTCTCATCATTTCCGTATCCCATATTCTCCTCTTTCTTACTCTTCATCTTTGCTATTCACTCAGTTCATTTACCATTATAAGCATGGCAAATCTTATATGCAAGTCCTCATTGCAGGCCAGACTGACGAGTTCCACCTGATGCTGATGAAATACCTTGAAGTCCACCCAGACACCAAGCTTCTGTTGGTGGGCTTCAGCATGGGGGGTAACATTGTCACAAAATATCTAGGGGAGCCAGGTAGAGCCAGGCCAGGTAACATTGTAGGGGCCATCTCCATCTGCCAGGGATATGATGCCGTAAAGTAAGTGTGCAGAACATTCTTATGTATTTTAGTTTCTTTTCTTTTTTTATGTTTGAAATTAGAGACTTATGCATGTATGTATGTGTTTTTATGCCGTTTGTGTGTGTTTGTGATTTGATAAACATTATAGAAAGTAGATTTAGAATAAGTTATTAATGTGGAAAATATCTTTTACCCATATTCTTTAATTCTAAAAACAGTTTTCAAATTTGGAAGTAGAGACATCTTCATATGGTATGGTTAAACATTACCCTATAGTACTTGCGGTTTTATGGTATCTGTAGAGGATGATAGATAGTAGAACTGAAATAGAAACATTTGAAACATTTTTTTTGAATTGCCCTAGATGTCAGAATTTGACATCTTTGAAGAAGAAATAGGATTATAAGTGAATCAATACAGAAAGACCATACAGTTTTATGGTTTGTTTGGTTTTGGTGTCGTATATATCATTGTTTTTTCACACGTGTTTAAATTGTATCAGTTGAACTCATTCCCTCATTTTCTGATATGTGCATTTTTCCTTCAATACAAACAGGAGTCTAAAGTACCTCTTAGAGTGGCACAACCTAGCACGCATCTACCTGTTCTCCATGACTGAGAACATGCGCTCCGTCATCATACGCCATAAGGAGGCTCTCTTCACTGAAGAGGTGAAGCGGAAATGTAACATTGAGGAGCGGCGAGTCCTTTCAGCTGCTACCTTACCAGAGCTTGATGAAGTATACACCAGGTTAGTCATAAGGAACTGTCACTAGGTTTTATTTGTTTTATTTTTTATTTTGAATTTGCTGGGGATAAGGGTGTGACACTAGGATAGTTGAAAATGAAAATGAATGCTTAGTTCCAAGTGTTGCTTATATTTGCTGGCATTGGTTCAAGTTAAAAAGAATATCTTACAATAATGTAATTCCCTTGTTACCCTTTATAAACAGAACTTGTTTTGTATGTAATAAGTTAAGATATTTGTTTCTAGTTTTCTTTTGAGATTTTGTATTCATTACAAGTTCCCCTTATTTACCAGTCATAAAATATATAATCAGTATATGAATAACTTAACAAGAGGTGCATTCTTCAACAGGCGCATCTTTGGGTTCTGTTCAAAGTGAGAGTGAAATGCAGCTGCAGCTACATGCACAAATACACAATGAATGCTCGTGATGTCTGACTGATTTTTAGGCATACCTGAGGCATGTCAAAAGAAGAAGAATGTACTGAATGATCTCTTTTTTGTTCTTTTTCCTCTTCCTCTCTTTCATAGCAGAATATAAAAACAGATGGACTTCAAACTATTTCTTTCTTTCTTTTCTTTAGAAGCAAATGTGAAAATATAGACTTTTAGATTTTGCCTCTTTCCATTCCCTTATTAGATGTAAACATATAGAGACAAATGTATTTTAGCTATGAGGAAAAAAGGTTTGCTCAATAAGATATGCACAAGTTACAAATGGAAAATACACAGTAAAAGCAGAGATATATATATATATATATATATATATATATATATATATATATATATATATATATATATATATATATATATATATATATTAATGGACTTTTCCTTTACTAATACCTATTGCTTTCTTTCCCACCTCCAATACAGAGACTCATAGTAACTCACTCTACATAGAAACGGACCATGGAGGCCACCTGGGTTACTATGATGGCGGGTATATTATGCCTCAAGCAGTCACATGGCTTGACAGAACAGTTGTATCTCTTGTCACAGCGCTGGCAAACAACCAGTAAGGTTGCAGGTGGTAGTATATTTTTGAAAGTGTTCTAGAACCTTCATGATGAAGGACAGTTCCACAAATTTATGTGTGTGCATGTATATGTGTGTAGAAGCCATACAGGTCAATATATATACACATGAATCTGTTTGCATACACACAGGTTATTATGTATTGCTCTCTATCATGTGTCTCCCAGATAATATAAACTGTGGATTAGATTAAAAATAATAGAAGACAGATGAAAGTGTAATTAAGCATATAATTTGTAATGAATAGTTCTTAGTCCAGTTACCCAGTGAAAAGATATCATTATAAATGTTTGGGACAGTGTGCGCAAATATTTGATATAAATGTGATATTGTAGCACAATTTCTGCTCAACTTTGGACAATAATAAGATAGAGATAGGATACTAAGATAGATTTTATATAATTTTATTTACTTTAGTCATATAAAAAATACTTTTTATGAACTCACAAATTGTGTTTTTTATTTTGTAAAAGTAATTTATGCACAAGAAATTTGGATGACATTTATAAAGATATATGAATATGTGATGGACAGAGAAAGTATTGATTTGTCTCAAAAGAACCTATACTGCATTTACCCTGTCTTAATGAAAAGGATGGTGAAAAGATTTTTGTTTGATACTAAACAAAAGAAATTATCTTGAAAATGTTTCTAATCCATTGTAGTAATAAAACATTCTTAAAACAATATCTGTGCCATTTACTAAGTTTCTTAAGTCATGGGAGACTTCTTTTTCTTCTATCTTTTCTAGTTACCTTCAGTTCCATTTACTCTTCAAATATCAGGATGGTGAGAAAAAAAGTTGTTTTGTTTCAGAAATGTTAGCTTGATTTATGTTACAGAAATCTCATTCACACATGCACATGCTCACACAACTACATGTGTACACGCACACACACATACACACTCACACTCACACTTGCTAAAACACACACACTCACTCACTCATTCACTCACTCACTCACTCTCATTCATGCACTCACACACTCACTTACTCACTCATGTACTCACTCACTCACTCACTCTCACTTTCTCTCTCTTTCTCTCTCTTTCCCTCTCTTTCCTTCTCTTTCCCTCTCTTTCCCCCTCTTCCCCCCCCCCCTCTCTCTCTCTCTCTCTGATTTCAGTATATTTATGTTGGTTACTGTTATTTGGAATATATTTGTTGAGATTTTTTATGTTTTAGTTAAGCAATTTTGAACAAACCTTTTGTACTTCGGACTGTCAGTCTGGATCATGAGTCTTTTCGGACTTGATGATTCATATATTATTAAAGGGGCACTGTCACTTTGCTCCATGATTGTACAATATACAGGGTTTGATAATAAGTTGATAGTTGGCAAGGCTTTGTAACAGTGTTAGAGAACTAAATCGAGAATGGAGTACTACAGGCTAATGCCACATCATTTATCTGTCTTAAAGTGAGAGAAATGTTTTGGTGCTTTTAAGGATATTAGCATTTTTGATGTCTGCCAGAGTTGAATGTGGGCCTTATTGAAGTGGCAATTTGTCTTCAACTTTAATAATTTGAGTCTATAAACTATGATCAGAACAACTAGAGTAAGTTGTCAAAAGTACATTACCTAATTGGATGCTGACATTACTAACAATATTCAACCAATTGCACTGTAACAGTTTGGTGATGCTTTACAAAGCAGAGTAAAAATGTAAGGCAGAATATGTAGCCCAAAGTTAAGTCGGGGAGGATGATGTTTGGTCGAAACAAAATGGCAGCATTCATGCACTTTTGCTCATGACGAGCCTCCTTCATTCCAGTTTTTTAAGAGGTTGCTATGCAGAGAAACCTGTCAGATGCCTGCTATTTTCTCACAAGTATGCTGTTTGTATCACTGAAAAATATTTTTCAAGTTGTACTTACAATGTGTTTGTATTTAGAAATTTATTTTCTTATATTTCTTTTCAACAATAAAGTCACTATATATATAAACGTATTCTCAAAGAGTGTGAGAAAAAGTTATAGATTTATGGAAAAGATGAAAATACTTTGATTGCTCTGTGCTTGCTTATGTGATACTGTGCCTAAGTTGAATTGCAGTTGTACATAAGTTGTATGAAATAGCCTCACAAGTATGATAGTATAGAGAAAGATAGCATTGCAGTTATTTATCAATGATACTTCAATGAAAATTTGTGTAGGCCATATTTTTATATTTCTTACACACACACACACACACACACACACACACACACACACACACACACACACACACACACACACACACACACACACACACACACACACACACACACACACACACACACACACACACACACACACACACACACACACACACACACACACACACACACACACACACACACACACACACGTGTACGTTATATATATTTATTATAAAATTTCTTGTACATTTTTGATGTTACTGTATCAGAACTGAACATTTGTAATAGTGATAGAGATTATTTTTTTATCTATATATTTATTTGTTTCTCACTCTCTCAGAAGAATGTATGCAAGTCTGAAATTCAGTGTGTCTGCATCAATTTTGTTCTTCACCCAGCGTGTGACTCAATTTTCTCAAGGCACACATACTGAGGTCCTATTATACATTCCCAGAACAACTGACATTATCAACATTCTCATTTTTTTTATTTACAAGAGGATTCATTCCAGTATCTTTACTTACTTCTATTCTCTAAGAGGGAGCAAATGTTTCCTTGCAAGAAAACAGATGTTACTAGTTCTGAATGTTTGCAGACTTAACTCTTTCTATCCCAGACACTCTGTAATATGGCTTTAGCAACTGTTTAAAGTATCCTTGGATATTAAAGTTAAATTATGTATTTGGCATGATCATTTATTTCATCTTCTTTTTTCTTAGTCTTACCTTGATTATCATATTCCTCTCTCTTTGTTATTCATTCGGTATAGTTGAAGCATTTGTAAAATGCCTCAACATTATGAGCAATAGAAAAGAGAATTATTTATCAACTTTAAATATATGCAGGGTAGAGTTCTACTTGCCATGTTATATAGAATAGTGACTTTTTGATGTCCTTATGTCACCAGTCATTTCCGTTTTTCACTGCAGTTAAGCAGCAGTTAGACAATCTATAAAATGAATGCATAAAAAGAAATGTAAATGGCAATGGAGAGATTCAGTAGAAGGCTTGGTGTAAATAAAGATATAAAAGGCAATAATTGTGGATCTTGAAATAAATATTTAACCAGAGTAAAGGTTATTATAACAATGCACAAATGTGTTTTCATGTGTGTGAATGTGCTTGTTTCTGTATATGTGTGCGAGTCTGTGTACATGTCTAAAAATGCTGTCGTTATACAAGACTGTGATGAGGTTTTAGTCTTTGTGGGAAATGTTGCTGGTAAGAATACTATTCTTGCTCCCATATTTAGTATGATAGCAAGTGCCAGTACTGTCATCCACTTCTTTATTGATTAAAAATTATAAACCAAAAGATTCTGCTTGCTTGTTAGAACACTTGTAAGCATGAGATAAGAAAAAATAACCAGCCAAAGTAATAGCAACTGATTGCACAATGGTATTCTTTATTAGTTAATCAAATCAGAAGTTATTTTATTTATTTCCAATTTATTGTTCATGTGTTAGAAAAAGGGACACCATATTACTGTAAAGACCTATGTAATCCTGTACATAACTGCTTTAATTTATGTAAAGGATTATATTAGAGAAGTATTGCTGATAAAACATGAAAAATTGATACAGTTTTCCCAGCTAGTACAGGAAGATGGCAAAATCCATCCATAACTACTATGCTGTTATTATCTCCTAGTCATGTATTTTGGTATTCCAGTAAAAGAAAAAAAATCTTCATTAGGAATAGGTGTTATTTTGGCACAATAAATGTAATATACATTTTGAATTAAATGTATTAATTTATTTGTGTTTTTTTTGTTTTATGAAGTCAGTATTCAGTTCTTTTATTCTTTCTACTTTTATATTCTATATTTTGTATGCAAGGAAAAGTAAACTTGTTACCAAAGCATTATGTACTTTAATTTCATTGGATATACCCGCTGATTAAAAAGATACCTGTTTGTTTGTTTTATAAATATCAAGTAAAACTATGATGTGAAATTCATTATTTGTTGGGCATTTGATGTAATCAGATACAATAAAAAAAACTTTAAACTAATTTTGTTTAATTTTACGATGCCTGGTGAACTTTTATGGCAGTTGTTCTTGCAACCTTTGATATACAGAAAAAGCAGTAAAAAACATTAATTAAACTGCAGTTATTTAATCTTTGTATTCTCACAAAGATAAGGCAAAATAATAAAACTAGTAAATAATTGGAATTTTACTTCCTGGGATTACAAAGTGAATTCTTACTGACAGGGAAGAAGAAAGAAAATCTGTTGCAACTTTCTGTATGGCCACTAATACATGGAGTTGCTTACATGGCTCCTAAGAGCAAAAAAAGTGTTTTAACCTACAGAGCTCCATCACCCTCCCAACATTTGTATTATCTATCAATATGACATCACATTAACCATGTTTAAACACAAGCCAAATAAAATATATTTAATTACCATACAGGTCAGTTTAAATTAGACACATCAGTTCAGCAGAAGCGGCATCTTTGCTTGTAGAGCAAAAACCTCTTGGTTCTTACAAGAAATTCAGTTTGGCTTTAACAGATGCTGAAGATGGATGAAGAATTTGAAAGCGTGAGAAGTACCTATGATGCATAATGTGTCCTAGAGCAAGTTCTTTTAGTTGATTGAAATATTTAAAATGTGCAGCTCACATAATACCGTAGACACACAGGAAAAAGTTTGTTCAAGGCTGTTTAGTAACAAGAAAAGATAAATGACAACCAAAAGAAGACCATAATAGTTCTGTGTCCATGGCTTTTCATAAAAGTATACACACAAGGGCTGTTAAGACCTTGTGTGTAACCTCTCGCCTAAATGAAGAAAAGCTACAGCATATGAAACACCAGTAATTTGGTGAATATTCAGAATATTGGACGTTACTGGCATGACCGATCACGCCAGTAATTATATGGACGGATTTCCCTCACTCTCTATTACCCATATATGTTGAAATCATGCCATGGAAACCCCCAATTACCCACAATATCAACCCCACAACAGGGGAGGGCATGAATTACACCATTGGAATTCGGGAGTAAATGGCGAATGATATAGTGAATTAGACAATATATAGTCAAATGTAGGGGGCTGTACTCCCTCCAATCCCCCCTTGAAACTGCTGCCCCTTAACCCCCGCCCGTAACAAAGAATCCATCACGTATATACAGCAGGACTGAGCGTCTGGCATACTCCTTGCCAGGCGCACCATGTTGGTCATATCATGCGTCATATGCTCTACCCTGCCGTGAGCTATATGACCTTAGATGTCTAGCACATTTATTTTAACCATTAACCATTACCCTGCCGTGGATTCTTTGTCGTCGGGGTTGGGGAATGGCAGAGCTCCTAGCGTTAGACAAAATAGTGACTTATTCTGTATATACTACCATTATTGTGACGGATTTCGTGAAAAAAATATTCATGTATTATCTCGCAATTGCCCTGTTACCTTTTATGCCCTTTGCTATCGGGGCCAAGTATGTGGGGGTGGGGGGGGGGGGGCATTCCTACGTATTTGTAAACGGTGAGAAGAATCCATCCATACCAATCGTCGCGATCGTTCATCGAAGGAAACCACATATTTTGCAGTATTTTTACCCCAGATAGCTGTGAAATTTTAAATGGTAAACAAAACAAATTGGGTTTACTATATTTGGAATGCAGGTTTTGCATGAGCAATCATCAGCTGGTTTACACGAAATGTGTTTGTCCCGTGAAGAGTAAGGTTCAGGAAAGACGAAAATGAAACAACGCCTAAGCCCTGGCACACGTGATGGGTAGTTTCTGGCTGACAGGTAACTATTTAGGCAAAGTGGAGGGAATATGGTAAAGGATCCGAACAGACGTGGTTCTTG